CTAACAAAACACGCAACATTCCTCTGGTTCTTTAATGCTTCTTTCCCCCGACTATCTTGACCCCAGATCTACCTCACAAATCCTGCTACTGTGCATTGGTACAGATAAGACCTTTTGATGCACGGAAGTCAGGACAGATAAACCCCTCAGAAACAGTAATGGGAACAACAACACCATGAGGGTAGGGGGAAGGGGGGGAACCGATAGCAATGATGGATGTATCACACACACCCCACGGGGGACAAACAACAGAATTGTGGATGGTGTAAGACATGAAAAAAATAGTAATATATAATTTATCAATGACTCATGAGGTTGGGAGAGAGAGGGAAAAAAGAGAAACTGATACCAAGGGCTCAAGTAGGAAGAAAAAGTTTTGAAAACAAGGATAGCAACATATGTACAAATGTACTTGACACAATGGATGTATGGATTGTTATAAAAGCTGTGAGTGTCCCCAATAAAATGATTTATTTAAAAAAAAGAGGAGCTGATCATAAAGGCTCAAGTAGAAAGATGTTTTGAAAATGATGATGGTAACTTAGATACAAGTTTCTTGATATAATTAATTTATGGATTGTTGTAATATCTGTAAGAGCCCCAATAAAATGATTTAAATTTAAAACAATGATAATTTTTTTTTTAAAAAAGACTTCTCAGAAGGGAAAAGGAAAATGTATTAAATTGAAATCTGGTTACAAAAAAGAAAAAAGCGGGGGGTGGGGGAAATGGCCAGCAGAAAGACATGAGGGAGTGTAAGTAAGAGTTAACCCTTACATGAGGAGATTTCCGATCAGACTGGATGTATGGAAAAAGGAAGTAAAACAAAAGAAGCGGCTGGATCCCCAGCATTGCTGCCCAGAAACACAAGGAGATGCTACGGAGTAGTTGACTCGCTTCGTGGACTGATTTGGTAGATCCTCATATCACCTAAAAGAACAAAGTGGGAAAATTCAAATTAATAGTACTATATTATTGCTCTCTGTAAAAAGTATCAAAGTTACAAAAGTCACATATCACCTGAGCATTTCACAAAAATCAAGTAATATTCTTTGGGCAAGACAATAAGTCAGTTGTCATGTGGCTTTGCTAACCTTAGGAAGAGTGGGTAGTCTAATGGACACATGGTGCACTTAATAGGAAACCACCAAAAAAATGGCATTTGAGATTAAGTTGCTTTATCAGTATGATCCATTTTATTCATTTCCTCCCTGGAGGAGTAACAATCAATCACATTTACTAAACAGATGAAGACTCTTCTTATCACAAAAAGATCCATAAGATTCTATGTTGGTGCTTTTGAAACTACAAGCTGCACACAAAAAATAAAATCAAACTTGGCCACCCTCAGTGACCGTTAGTATATGATGATATGATGCTTGATCTGCAATAGCACACCATGGGCTGCTGGGGGAACAGAGTGGGAGTGGGGGGGGGCGGGGACTGGCAGAGGTGGGCCAGTCACTCTACCAGTTTGAGGAAGCAGAATTGGAGGGTGTGGCCAGTCACTGGGTGAGTGGAGTTTGAGGGGCTTGAACTTCTGGTCACCAGGAGGCTGTGCAAAGTAAAGAGTAGAGTACCCTTCTCTGGTTGCTGATCGTGTGGGTCACATATTGAGCAATTAGCATTGTACACATAGAGTTAGCTTTATAGGCGTTCCCTCCAGTGAAGATACCTTAAAACTGGAACTCATAAAATATTTACTGACAGATGAAAAAGTTTTTATGTTACATCCACACACTCAAATTCTCTGAGCCACTATAAAGCATATTCAAACTCTTTTTTGTTTGTTTTTAAGTTGCATTTAGTTGTTTATATTTTACAAATGGCATTTTGTTTTTATATAATATGTAATAAAACCCCATTGTTGTAGAGTAAGGAGAATCATGAAGAATCTGTAGCTTTCTCAAGTCCACACTTTTTAAACAGTTTTATTGGCATATATTTCACATATCATACATTTTAGTGGTTCGAGCATATCAAAGAGACTTGAACAATCATGTCCACAATCATTTAGAATACTTACTTCTTTCATGTATTCATTGTCAGCAGTTCCCACCTCCCCACTCCTCCCCCTCAGTCTCCCCCAAGAAGCCATCAGTGCAGTCACTCTATAGTTCTATCCATTCTGGAGTTCATATACAGAAAAACAAAGAAAACAAACTACAACTCTTCATAGGGGTTTCAGGGAGTTGGTAGAAAAATGGAATTTTTCTATGAACTTTTCCCTTGTATACTGCTGAGTCAAGCATTTGATAGCAAAGGGACATATATAGTATGTTTCTGGGTTAATAAATATATATATATTCAGGTAAATGTACAGTTAACTGTTTCAATAAGTTCTTCGAGGAAGTAGAATTGCTAGCTGATAAAACAGGAATTTTAACTTTAAAGATTTAGCTGATAAAACTTCGTACACATGTATCATCCAAGATGCTGCCAGGATGCTTAGATTAGGTAAGAATATTATGTGGTCATAGTCAATGTTGCCGGGCTTTTCTTCCTTGGAAAAAAAAGTAGCAAGTTTCTTCCAAGTGGTTTGCAACAATAGAGAGAGACACACACAAAATATGAAGACAATTGTGAAAAGAAGTAAGCAGAGCAAATATGTAAATGCAAGGTGCACTGCAATCACAAAGCAGATCACCTCATGATTTGAGGAAGCTGATCATGCCTAGGGGTTTGACACTGGATTTTATAGGGCTGTCAGGTATCAGGATCCTACTGGTTTGCCTCACCCCTAACCACATTTGCCTTTATTCTTTCCTCCTGATTGGTCCTTATTCCAGCATAATATTTAGTCTCCTAATCCACGGTTGTGCACCTCATTATCGTGTGGGGTGGTGTTAGTCAATAGGTTATCTGAACATGTCGGTAATGCATTGATGTGAGGCATTTTGGGATGGGCCATCCAGACCTATAGTTGTCCTTGATATGAGTGGCGGAATGAATCAAGTGAGGTGGTGTGGGGATGAGTCCTTTGCAAATGACTGCTGGTAGAATGGATCATGGGAGGCAACTTGGGATAGATAGGTCATTCAGACCTCATAGGCCATCAAGGCTTCCAGCTGACCCTACCAAAGAATATTTGCAAAGCTAAGCAGTGGGAGAACAATCAAAGGCAGGAAAAAAGGCCACCAACAGTGGGTGGAAGTTGGATAAGCATCATTGTGGGGTGAGGCGGTCAACCACACCAAGACAGAGACTGGGTATAAAAAACTAGAAATCAAAGCTTAATGGAGAAGGTAATTGAAGAAAAACCCAGCCAGCCCACTGTGGTCTGGCAGAAAAAAAGATACCATAAATGACCTCATTTTCCTCACCAGCATGACCCATTTAGATTTATTTTTTGCATGCACACACACACACACACACACACACACACACACAAATTAACATTGGCCAAATCAGCCAGAAAACTGAGGACAAAGAAGCCTATTTATGTAGCCCATTCAGATTAGATCTTAAGGCATAAAGGTGGGTGGAGACAGGTTGAATAAAACTGAAGGGACAAACAGAAATTATCCTTTATACAAACAAATAGGATAAGAGAAGTAGTATTTGGAATAGAAGAAATTAAGCATTATAGAAGAGTATTGTTATTGTGTTATTGGAGAATGAGCTAAAACCCCAAATACAGGCAAACACCAGTATTTTATACCATTTGGGTGGGTCAGACAGCAGGCAGCGAGAAGACCAAAACCATTAAAATAAAACATAGCTCTCATAATGCACATTTCTGTAGAACAGACATGATATCACATGGCTCCAAGCGCCATAGCTCTCATTACAGAGTGGGTCTTTCTAGTGGGCCAGCCTCCATTCTAAGCCAACTTGTTAACCTATACTACAAAGGCACTAACCTTGAGTCACCTTGCTAGCTTAAACCAGCAGGTGTGGTCTGAGGGGCTCAGCAAGAATGACAAGACACCTCTATCACTCAGGAAATCTCAAGGGTTTCAACTCTGTCTCCCAGAAACTGGAGACAAAGGCCAGTCAAAGTCTTTATTCCATACACAACAGTTACTACTCTTTTTACATACACAGCAAATATTTACAAACTGACTGACCCATATATGATTACCTCTTACTACTCACTTAAGGTGTGGCCCACAAAAAAAGGGTAGGGGGGTCATTTTCAAATGAAGGCAATATTCTGATTCTTTTGATTACCACCCTGCTACCTTGGGCCCGAGAGCAAACTGCACTCACTTCTCAATTCCTGAATTGTACAGTGTGTAACCTGAGGGGATCAAGACAAATGGTATTAGGAATGCATTGTAGTTTTGAGTTATAACATTTTTCAGAATTGATTAACAACTTCCCAGACTTCCGGGCAGAGGAATCTGATAAAGAGCCAAAATATATAGATTCTGGGGCAATGGAAGACAAACAAATAAAGAAACAAAAATAAATAAATAAAATTAAGCTAATTAAGTAGTAGATTAAAAAAATTAAACTCACTGCTATAGAGTCAATACTGAATGATAGTGACTCCCTGTGGGTAGTAAACAGATAAAGAATAATGTAAATCCATATTTACATACCAATAGAATGATCTTCCCAATGTAGGAAAAAGGTAAAACATTATCATTTCCTCAATTATACCACATGTAGTTTGTATCTCTTTGATGTACCACCAAAGAATAGCATCATTTCTAATTTAATGGTAAAATAGAAATCATAATTTAATAAATAACAGATATGTAAGCATATACCATGACTTACATTTTGAGTGGGAACCGTTAATACAGTGGGTTAAAAATTTGGTTGCTAATGTTTGGTCAGTGGTTTAAATGCACCAACTGCTCTATGGGAGAAAGACGAGGCAGCCTGCCTTCATAGAGATTTACAATATTGGAAACGCTGTAAAATTACTATGAATCAGCTCAAAGGCAGTGGGTTGGGTAAGTCTTTAGCATTTCCTGAAACTAATATAATTTTTCCTTCCATTAGCATGAGAGAAAATCTATAAATCCATGTCTTTATTGTCAATCAATTTATGATATCTTTCTATAATGCACAAGCCAACTGCACAATCTCTTCATTGCCACTTTCATCTCTTTGTTCCTGAGTGTGTAGATGACTGGATTCAGAAAAGGGGTGATAACTGCATCAAATATAGCTAGATACTTATCCACATGGGATGTGGGGGAAGGCCATGTATAGAAGAACATCAATGGCCCAAAAAATAAGACCACTACAGTGATATGAGCTGACAGAGTGGAAAGGGCCTTGGCCGAGCCGCCAGAAGAATGTTTCCAAACAGTGTACAGAATGAAGATGTAGGAAATAACCAATAAAACGAAGGAGCCCACAGAAATCAGTCCACTATTGATGGTGACCACGAGCTCTAGTTCTTGGGTGTCTGCGCAGGCGAGTCTGAGGAGCCGGGGAAGGTCACAGTAAAAACTGTCCAATACGTTCGGACCACAAAAGGGCAAATCGACCACGAAAACCAGTTGGACCACTGAGTGGATAAGGCCGATGATCCAGGAAATGACTAAAAAAAAGAGACACAGCTGTGGGTTCATGATGGTCAGGTAGTGGAGAGGCTTACAGATGGCCACATACCTGTCAAAGGCCATGGCGATGAGCAGCACCATCTCCGCGCCCCCAACAGCATGACTGAAGAAGATCTGAGCTATACAGCCCCCAAAGGAGATGGCTTTGTGTTTCTTGAAAATATCATAGATCATTTTAGGGGCTGTAATTGAGCAAAATACCATATCAATGATGGAGAGATTAGCCAGGAGGAAATACATGGGGGAGCGCAGGTTAGCATCCAGTGTTACAGTGAACACAATAATGAGGTTTCCCATTATGGTTACAAAGTAGAACATGGTGGCAAAAATTAGAAGGAGCAGCTGGATTGCCCATGAATTCGTGAGTCCCAGGAACAGGAACTCAGACACCACAGAATAGTTCATTGCATTCATTGCCTCAGACACCAGGATGTTTCCAGGCTTCCTAAAGGATTGGGAGAAAATGAGAGCAAATGACTTTGGCAAGTACAAGTGTTCCAGAAAGAGAGCGCCCAGAACATGCCGGGGGAGGGGGGTAGTTCACACCGTCAATGAATTACATAAGCACTAAACTTCTGTCTAGAAGGGTCAGTTGATTTGTATATGACATCATGGTTTTCAACTCTACTAAATTAATCTAGACTTAGCACCCTTCCGTTTGCTTCTAAGATGATACGAACGTTTCCTCCTCCTGCCAGTGTATTCTACTTGTATGATTAGGTCACCTTCAAATACTTTCAACTATGATTTCATGTGAAAAGAAGTGATTTCATACAATTCATATGAGCAACTTCACAGTTTTCAAAGTCTCTGAAAAGGAACTACAGAATGGTGACCGGAGCCCAGCATGAAAAAAAAACAAAAAACAGACAAAATTGCAATTCCTTAGGAAAGAATAATGGCAGAAATGAACATCAAGAGTTTACTGTCCAGTGGAGTGCTCCTGCTTTAGTCTACATTCATGCTTTACAAGCAAAATGATTCATAAAAGAAGAGATAGAGGACGTGACTTGCTCATTCTCTATCATTATTTATACTAGGACTAAGGAGCCCTGACTCTCAATGGAAGTTCTTTACATTAATACAATTTTTTTAACTCACTGCCATTGAGTCAATCTGGACTCATAGTGACCATATCAAACAGAGTAAAGCGTCCCCTTTGGGTTTCAGACCAGGTAACACTTTCTCGGAATAGAAAGCCTTATCTTTCTCCCTCGGAGCGACTGGTGGCTTCAAGTTGCTAGCCTTGTAGTTAGCAACCCAACACGTTACCCGCCGTGTCACCAGACCTCCACTGTTCGTTGTACTAGAGAGATTTCTTTGTTTCCTGTTACTGCTGAAACATCTTAACTTTTTCACTTTACCCATAAATAATCATCTTTCTCATGGGAGCTCTTGGTGGTTTCAAACTGCTGAAGTCAGCAGCCTAAGGCATAACCACTATGCAACCAAGGTTCCTTAGAGTAGAATAGAGGAGGAAGTTGTTTGTCTTAGCTCATCATTCATTTTCTGTAAAAAGAGATTGTTTTGAAAGTCCACAGATAATGTCTCATTACAGCTACATGCAGAACAAAGCTCGAACAACTAATGCCCATCAATAATAGGGAAATTATTAGAATCAGCCAACAAATGCATAACTGGGCAAGTAGTAAGGTCACCTCTGTAACTGAATTCCATAGGAGTCTCTGAATTATTTTTGCTCATACATTTTTAAAATCTTTTTAGTGCCCAGAATTCCAGGCACTCACCATTCCAACATTAAAAATATATCACCGACAAGAACGCATGCCGCTGTGGAGTCTACGTTCATGGCAGAAAACAAAATGTTGATCTCACGTCTGCTTCCTCTAAAAAGAATAAGAACACGAAGGAATTCTATTGTTCATCAGGTGCCTGGGAAGTCTCAAACACTCTGCTCCTAGTTCATTTCTTTTTCAAGAAGTTGCTCTTCAGTATATTGATATCTACTTTTATCTGAATTCTCAAATTTTTTCTTTTTTTAACAGTTTTAATGGCAACCCATCCACATATCATACAATTAAAATTGTTTAATCATATCAAGAAGAATTGTACAGTCTTTACCACAATCCATCTTAGAACATTTTCTTCTTCCTTGTACCCATTGTTACTCATGTAATTTTTAATTGCCCATTTATAGTTTCAATTACATATTTCATTTTTAGAAGCTTTGTGTTAAGTATGCATTGGCTTTATCTACCCAAATATATTATAGAACACTCAGAGGAAGGCTTTATGTATCATAATTCTTTGTGTGAGCAGAAAAAGAAATGAAAACACATTGCTGAGAAGATTCATTGGCTTGTATACTCATTTATTCAGTAACTACTTATGAAGCATCTATAAACTGCTTAGCACTGTGATACACCTTAATGATAGCCTAAAGATTTAAAAATATAGATATTAATCTTGGAAAGGCTAACAACCTAGTAGTAATTCCATACATGCATGTGAAATAAATTAATAAGATAGGATATTACATGGGACATTCTGGATTGGGGAACAACTATAAGAATTACATAAACAATTTTATAATTTATAACCAAACTTCTATATCACAAACTATGAACTAACAACTCAAAATTTCTTCAGGAAAGGGAAGAAAATTAAGGCAAAATAAAAACCATAGGATCATTAGAGAAAAAAATGCTTCTAACCAAAATGTTTATGGTATTAATCTGTGAAGTAAAAATAACAATGACATACAATAAAATAAGAATAAAGTAACACTCCCTGCAAATTGAAATTTTAACAACAAAAAATTATAAGTCAGAATAGCAAGATAAAATAGTGGTAAACTTAACTATGAATGCATTCACAAAGAAAAATTTTAGCTAAAATAGAAGAGAATTGACCTGGTCATTCTGAAAAAAACATCTATATTTGTGAGGATGGTGTAATTAAAGAGATGGTGATGAAACCTAGGGAGAGGGTGAGGTAGACATAAAGAAAAAGAAGTCAAATAAATTATAAAAATCAGAATGAAATTTTGTAAAAAGATGAGAAAAAGGAAGAGAAGGCAATAGAGTTTCAAATGTACCCAGAGACTAAGATGATGTTTTAGAAGGGAAATAAATATTAATGCTATACAGGGAGGAAGAGGTGGCTGTGAGTGGGAGCATATCAGATAAACAGTCTACAAATCCTCAGTTCCCAAAAGTATTTCCTGCTAGCACCTAGCACTTAGGTTAGCTTATTGTACGTCATAGTTTTCTTATATTTTTTAAAAGAAAAAGGTGGTTTATTAAGGCACTACAAGCTATTAAATGGTTTTCCTTGGTTGAGAGTTTATGCATGCATACTTTGATGATGAAGAAATAAGTGATATATTTTAAAGCTGAGTCATAATCCAAAGAGGATGGCCTTGAATTGGTTGATAGCAGAGGAAAGAGATTGGCTCTACAGAAGAGCAAACTCCAGGAATGAAAGCCAATGTTGAGAAAAAGTGGGGTGGGGTGGATGGTGAATGAGAACAATGACAAATGTACCTTCTTCTTTTAAGAAAAGAAACACCTGACATTGAGGTGATTCCAGCTCATAAAGACCCTGTGTGTGTCAGAGGAGAACTGTACTCCATAGAATGTTAATGGATATCTTGTTTCAGAAGTAGGTCTTGGTCAGGCCTGTCTTCCAAGACACCTATCAGTAGACTTGAACCTCCAAGCGTTCCGTTGGCATAGGAGTATGTTACCCATTTGAATCACCCAGAAATGCCTCTAACTACTTTAGAAGCTAAGTTAAAAGCTAAAAAAGAGAAAGGAATTCGAACAGAAATGTTCAGCTTCTCTGGAAACTTACCTAGCTCCAGTTGTAAGGACTTCACCTTTCTTGAGTATCCCTCCAATGGTTTCAGGTATAATCTCAGACTGGCTTTTAGGCTCTGAGTTAGGAGTCCTTAATCAGTGTGAGGCATCCCAGACCGTCCAATGAGAGAGAATATACCCCTCTAAGCCATTGTCCCTGGTTCTGTTCTAGCTATTACTCTCAACAATCATAATAACTGGCATGAATAATAACCACCATTTGTTTAGACTACTTAAACAATGATGACATGTGACAGACCCTAGATTCTTCAAAATTTGATGAAGTCATTTAAATATATTGATATACATGAAAATGGAATTGGAACAGATTTGTAGTCATTTCACTCTCTTTTTTCGCAATAGATAGATGTTTATTATCCTCAAATAATAAAATCATTGAATTGCAAGTGATCTAAAAATATGTTCTGATTCAGTTCCTTTTTTCCATCCAGAATACATAAGTTCTCTCTCAGTTTACTTGGTGTGAAAATTTATTTCGCTCCTTAGAACCCTCATTTTTAGTAACTGTCCAATAGTACTTCCTTACACAAAGGAAATCTCCCATTTGTTCTATTAAGTCCACGTCCATGTACTTCTTCTTCTGTGGATACAAAAACGTGGTCAACAACTCTCTCTGACAAATGTTCAACAGCCTTGAACTTAGTAAAAGTGAATGAGGATCACTTGTCTGCTTCCTGAAATTCTAATCACATATATGTCTTTAGCCTTTCCTTACAGGATCCATCTCTACCCCCTTTATCTTCGTCAGCCTTAACAAACCACACCCATGTCAACAACAAACATCTCATTGTGGGGACCTAGAAAAACATACCAATTAAGTTTCAAAATCAAAAACAAGAATAAAAGGATTGATGGAAGGCTGTTACACACTGAACATTTCGTTTCTGACATTGTATCTCCATTGCCCCATATAATTTCCTTCTGAACTTCGTTATTTTAGTGGGAGGTCGATTAAATCCCTAGAATTCTTTTGTTTTTCTAAGCAAGTTATCAATAGTCCTTTTTCCATCTCAATTTCACAGAATCGCAATTTTATTGTTTAAAAATGTAATACTTAGCATTAATGAATGTGTTCTTTTTCTCTGTTAGCTGTCTTAGCTAAAGGTCTATCTAAGCTCTTTTCTAAAGACAGAAGGAAAGCAGCTAGATTGTTCTGAAGACAACAGCACATTGACTTTTACTTTCCATGATAATAAAGTTCCCTGAAGATCCCTGGGTACTATCATCGACACAGCCTGCATCCTAGTCCTATCCTAAAACAAGGCAAGCGGTGGACTCCAGACGACAATGGATCTTCAGTTGCACCTTTGGGTCTCTGAGACATTTCAAGCTCTAGTTAAAAAATAAAGTTCATTCTCGTGTTCTCTATCCAAGAATGCTCATATGTATGCTCCTGTTGTGTTCGCCATCTTCTCACCACTGCCTCGTTGACCCTTCCTGCACCCATGCCAGAGTGTAACTCACGTGTGCAAAGAGCAAACGATTACCCAAGTCTTCCTTGTCTTTGAAATCGATTTAGTTTAATGTCCTCTTCTTATTGTCAGTTCCAGTCCCTTATTGCCTTGTGACGATTCACAATTA